CCTGGTTTCAGGATGAATTTGACCTACTTTGACTTTGTGTTAGTGAAATGATTTGAGAAGATGCTTGACTGCTTTAAAGCTCAACTTCGACTTCTTTCAATTTAAGATTTTTGTTTTGTAAATATTCAGAATTAAATTGAGATAATCCATCATCGTGATATACACTATCCCCATTCCAGGTACATTGTAACAGCAAACCCTGCTGAAACCTTATACCAAAAATGTAACCTGACATGCATCTCCTGAGAAATGTAACTACATCTCGTCATCAGTGCACATCTGCAGTGGATCATCGGCCTCCATCTCACCCTATCCCTAGCCTCTCTCTCTTCTGTCACACCAGCCCTCCTCATGTCCTCCTCTACATCCATGAACCTTTCTGCAATCTTCCCTTTTCTCCCTGGCAGCTTCATATTGATATCAATATCAATAAAAATAAATATTTAGCACCTTTTGTCCAGCGTATTTACTGTCATTTATCTGCAAGAACCATCTCACCCTTGCATGTCTAACTTTGACTCCAATTCTCTTCACCTGAACTGTTTCTCTCATGTACTCATTTCTAATCTTGTCCCAATGAAAATCCTACCAACTTCACCTTTGCCTTCAGTCTTTATGTCAGTGTCACCATCTTCAAACCATCATAGCAGGTCTCTCAACAGTCTTGTAAACCTGTCTCCACACATTCTGCAATCTCTTCTTCGCCTGTCTCGTGCACTGTTCGTTGCTTTGGGTGGTTGACCCCAGGTATTTAAAGTCATCCACCTTAATCAGTCTCCTCTTCTTTCCAGAGCATGCTTCCACCTCTCCAGGTTCTCTTCCGTCCGCCTTCTGTTCTCACTACAGATCACTATGTCTGCAAACATCAATCCATGCAGACTCTTGTTGGCCTAATCCGTCAACTTGTCTGTCATTATTGGAAATAAGAAGGGACACATCTTTTTCGTATGTACTCCATTTTCAGAATCTCAAAAGTAACAGGACAAAACAATATAATTCGAATCACAAGGATTGTTTTTGAGCCTGATGCTAATATTTAGAATAACAAATCCTATGTATTTTTACTCTTTCCCCTTGTCATCCAGAGCTACGTGAGAGGAGGTTTTTGCTGACTCCATCAGCCTCGTGATCATCTTAACGCCTACTACATCTGAGTCAGAAAGCAGCCTTCCCACATTCAGATAAAGAATAAATAACACTGCAGGATTGCAGTGGAGAGACGGGACCAGATTAAACTTGCTGCCCTGGCACTACCCAGACTATGGATCTCTCACACACACACACACGATAAACTGTACTTTATTTACTTAAACAGGCTTTCCTGGAACAGAGCACAATAATAATATTAGAAATAATAGGCCCTGCTTACACCGAGTGAACCACAGGAGTCTGTATGTTAAGCAGAATATTAGTAACGCATACAGACTATGAATTTAAAGATACAACTGAAGATTTTATGCTCGTGCATTCACAACTATTAAAACCAGCTCCATTAAGAAAAACAAGGTAGATAAGAGAGCGTGACCAGTATGTGTACCCTGTTCTTCATCAAGTAAACATTAAATGCACTACAGAAGAGTTTTCTTTTTGTTTTTTGTCTCTGTCCATTTTCTCAATTCTTTCTCATCTTCTCCCATATGGAAAAGATATTTATAAATCTTATCAAGTTTGTATCTGTCTTGTGTGAAACTTGTATGAAAAGCAGACAAGAGTGAAAACAGACATAAGAAACCTTGAAAAATTATATAAATGAAACTTGTATGTTTTGGATACTTACTAATACAATATATGAAAGTAATGAGAAACTGGCCACTTTCATGAGTAAATCATATAAACCTTACATGATTCGCTATATGAAGCAAGCCAAAGCTGGTGCAAGTCTTTTATAAGTTTTTCCTATTTCTTTTCCATTTGAGCTTATCAACAAAAAATGTATGATCGAAACTTTAGCTTATATTTCAAACAATATTTCTTGTGCTGGTAAATTTAGGGTCATCACAGCAGATCATCTGCTTCAAGCTGATTCTATCCTTTGCATCCTCCAAGGTCACACAAACCCTGTGTGCTCTTCTTCATTACATCCATGAATCTTCTGTGGTCTTCCTCCTCTGACAGTTGTGTCTCGTCTCTCTTACTTTTGTCTCCAAGGTGGAAAAACTGGTGAGTCCCTCTGATATGTTAATTTCTAATCCTGTCCATTCTGGTCACTCCCCAATAAAAATCTTAACATCGTCAACTATGCTACCTCCAGCTCAGCCTAATTTTTAAGCCATATTTCGCACCAGGCTTCACTACCATCTTGCAAACCTTCCCTTTCACTCTTGCCATAAACCTCAGCTCAGAGGCAATCCCACCCTAACGTTCAACCCTCCATCATGTCCCTAAACAGGATCACTTCTGGCTCAGAGAAACCATCATGATGGTGGCCTTAAGGATTTAACATGGGGAGTGCCAAAATGAATGGGTGATCACTTGGTGACCACATCCATCTTTTATTTACAGCATGTCTAGACTGGGTGAATGTCCCCCTCCCTCCAACCAGAAATGTGTATGCAGACTCACTTAAGCCTGCATAAGCCAGCTTAACTAAGAGCTATAGTTGGGTGAATGAAAGCGAAATTGTTTTGTTTTTTTAAATCAATAAATAAACTTCTAGACCTCTTGAAAGTACAGAAACAAACAAGGAAACTAGTTCCACAGAAGAAAGACCTGACAGCTAAAACATGTTTCCTATTCCACTTTTATAACATCACTTCCCCCTCAGGTAACCTGCACCCTGAGGGGGAAGTGCTCTGTTAGAACAAGATACTATGCGATCTTTAAGACAAGACAAGGCCTGATTGTTCAAGATTTCGTATGTGAGGTGGTTTTTAAACTGGATTCTTGATTTAACAGTTAGCCAAATAACACACTGAAGGAAAAGTCCTAAAAATGGCTTCATGGATAAAGAAAGTTGGGTATCATCCGTCTAGTAATGAAAGTGTTTGAAGTTTTCTTTCTAACAGGATCATCAAAGGGAAGCACGTGTAATTTAACAAGCAACAGTCCAGAGAGCGTAACTCCATGGAACGTTTTGTGCAACTCCCATTTACATCTATAACCTGTAATCTTTTTGACAGATATGATTCAAACAGTTTCTACTAATCTCTGTTTAAATGTGAGATGCCCTAACTTTACAGAAGGCTTTGGGGTTTTTTTGTTTTTTAAAAAATAGCATTTGGAAAAACAAACAAACAAAAAAAAACAAAAAACACCCAACCTTTTTTCCCAGACCAGAGAAAGATCTAAATCAGGGGTGTCAAACTCCAGGCTTCAAGGGCTCGAGTCCTGCACGGTTTTAGATCTCACCCTATGTCAACGCACCTGATTCAAATGATAAGTTCATTACCAGACTTCTGGAGAACTTCAAGACATGTTGGGGAGGTCATTCAGCCATTTAAATCAGCCGTGTTAGATCAAGGACACATCTAAAACCTGCAGGACACCAGCCCTCGAGGCCTGGAGTTCAACAACTGTGCTCTAAATGGAGTGCAATCCCAGTTCCACATACAATTTTATAAATTTAAACGCTTTATGATCTCAGTAAGTACTGCTCTCATGTTTAATTACATCTAGCTACCCAATTGAATTTGGAGTAGCTGGTATTTTTATTATGGCTATTGGAACAGCATGGTACCAGTGAGTCTAGGAGAAACCACCCAAACCGTTGTCCTTAACACTTACCTCAAGTACAAACATCTCAGTGTGGATTTCCTCAATACTGTACCTCTCAAACTCTCTTCATTTTCCCACAGCTCGGCTGAAAACACTTACATATAAACACATGCATGTTCAGAGCACTGCTGGAGATTAGAAACATTTGTGAAACCCAAGTTTTTACTCTTGTTTTTAGACCCTTGTTTGGTTTGTAGGCACCACTTGCCCTGAAGGTCTCCCATGAGGTCTGTGTCGCAACCTGCTGTATTCATCACAAAAACAAAGACAATTCTATTTCTATTTAAATAAAAAAAAACCTTAGGGGTTTTATGAGCACCCCCAAGGTTTATGAATAAATATCAGCAATCTGACATTACAGTTATTTTCAGCTGTACGCAGCACTGATGACTAATTAGCAACTGCTAGCATACTAGCACCAGGATGGTTGTGACAGAAAGATTTCCTGTGGTGTCCCAGGAGTTCATGGGCCGAGTCACTTATTTGGGGTCAGTGAATAAAAACAGTCTGTTTTGTAAATCTTGGCCACAACATGTTTTTAAATGGAGGATTTCCTGTGGCATTAAACTACAAGCTCATTGGCTAATGACTCAATCAAGCGATGCACCTTCACAGTTAGACCCGCCCTTCTTCACGTATGATTTTGTACACACTCGACTGCACAGGTGGAAATATCGAGGCCTTTATGACATGACAGCTATGTTTTTAACACCCACAGACAATATAAATGTTTAAAATAGCTTAACCAATAAGAGTCCCCCCATTATTTCTTTTGTAAATAATACTCATCATCATGGATAAACTGCATTTTCTTTGCCAATTATCATCAATTAGGACCAATAATATTCAGCTTTCGCCCGACCACTTTCAGACCACAGTATCAGCAGATATCATTGGAAGTAGCTCGAAGTTGTCTTCAGCATTACCTCCTGACCCCTTTTCAAATTAAGTAGCAGTGACATTGCCTGTTTTTAAACAAGGAAATTATGAAGACAGAGCCATATCAGCAATCTTATGGTTGTTCCTGAAAGCAAGCCAGAATATACCATTCTTAAGTCATGATTCTATGATCAGTTACTTTTTATATTCTATTCTGTTACCAATTTGCCTTGGATATTAGTCGTTTCCATGCGTTGCTCCATAATAGATGCCTAATGGCGTCATTTAAAGGTTTAAAGGGTGCCTACTGGGACATCAGTGACTAATGTACCCATAAAGCAGGAATCACTTAGCAGTCTTAAGCACAGTGGCTTCTTTTAACTGTGTCTGGAGCAGACGAGTCAATGTCAGACAGTGAGAAAGGTGTTATTACTAGTTGGTGAACACACAAATGAGAGAACATGACAGTGAGTCTTCCTCATACACTTCCATGGTCAAAGTGGATGCCACTATGACTACACAGAGCAATGAATCCATGACAGAAGAGACACGATGGCTATAGAGCAGCTACAACATGGTAAACATCTGTTGTATCCACAGTCTATTTAACAAATTAAAGTACTACAACACCTGACTCCAGGATGGTTTTGAAACATTTCCACAACATTTAATTTGCGCTTTTTTCCTTGTTTGCTTTTTTTGTGAAATAAAGAAAAAAAAAATATCAAGAAAACAAAAAAAGTTATTCCTACAAACAGACATTTTTCCCCCCTCAGCACTCCTACTAACTCAAATTCCAATAGTTGTGACACTGGAAGCAATGCATAAATGTGTCAGTCTTTCTTTCCTTGACTGATAAAAAGGGGGTGTGGGCAGGGGTGTGTGTGTTGGGGCAATGATATGTTGGAGGTCATACACATTGAACAGCCGAGGAGAGAGGCGTACCGGCCCCTTCTCCCTCGCCTTGTCATTGAAGTCTACTTGTGACAGTCTCACAGTCTCAAAGGGAGTTTGGGAGGAGCATCAGGCAAAGGAAACAAAGATGTAAACTAGGACGTTGCCGGTCCGGCACAGCTTTTCTTTTCCCGCTAGCCAGCTGGCTGCATCCTGGGTCATTGGTCTTTACTGGTTCATTCTCCAAATCTTCCTCCAACTGCACCGAAGCAATCTGGCTCAACAAATGCCTGACTGGCAAGAAGCTGCTGCAATTTATTCTGATTTAAAAAAAACAAAACCTTCTGGGTGCAGAAAACATGAGCAGCAGCAGAAAGTGCATTTCATATTTTAGGCTGACAGGGCTGAAATGTTCTAGCTTCTCTCAGACTGTGCGATCCGTCACCTTCCATGTTGGGTACGAGAAACAATCAAATCTTCCACAAGTCCCTAAAGAGACATGGCAAGCAGCTAGCAGCTATTTGGCAACCACAGACCAACAAAAGCCAAAATTTGGTGGCAGCCAAAAATAACTCTGTGCTGTAAAGTGGCCGACAATAAGTTCAACTATCCACAACTCTGAAGCAAGCCAAGAATAAAGCTGACTACTATGACAGGGCCGTAATTACAGATCGATGTGGATGAGTGAACGGCTGTAAGTTTATCATCTCCTGACCATCTATTACTGCTACCACCACTGTAAGTGTCGTACAGTTCACGCACTGATCAGAAACCCTTTCATATCGAGCTGGAGCCGTTTACAGTGGTGACAAACATGTTCATCTGGAATATGAAGAACCCCACAGGATCAAACAGGTCATCAGCTCAAATACAGATTTGCCTTAAAACTCTGATTTAAAAACATGAATTTCAATGTGTGAACTTCATGCTAAATTCAGTTGTATAACACGAAATAAAGACTGGACAAAAAAAAAAATCTTCCTGCAACTCCTCTAATGGTGTCTTGTTGAATTTTTGTATTCACTTTGGACGGTGGCAATGCCACAATGAAGACAGCGCTGGAAATGTCCTGTGCAGACACAGCATCCTACTGCTGCTCGTCAAAGCATCCGATTCCTCAAGTTTTATTTTCCTGTGATTTTCCTCAAGATATTAAATCCATCTAAGACACCTACTGTTTTTAGAAGGTGTGAGTCGGTAATCTGAACAGTTCTACTGCTTCTTAATATGAAAAACAGGAAGTCGAATAAAGTGGTATTATGCAAAGATGAGGTAAGTTAGCATCCCAACTTATCCCATCTGCAACACCAATATTTCAGCTACTCATTCTTTCAGAGTCCGTGGGTAAGTAGGACTCTAACCCTAACAGCACGCGCAGCCACACTGAATGGCACACAGGAGCATTTACTGAAAAGCCCCAACCATTCAGTCGCTCTTTTCCATTAACCCGAGGGCATCTTCAAGTTTCCTGTTCAGATATTAACCACAGTGAGTCATCTTATAAGGCCTAGTAACATTTACGCATCACTTATATCATCACACAAGTCTCAGTGTAGTCACATTTACTGATAGAAACACACACGGTTACAACTCTGAACGTCCTAAACAGCAGCGCGCACACAAAAAGGAGACTCGCTTCTGACTGACAACAGCAGAGAGACCCAAACATTTAGAAATGGGGTCAAATTCCACCAGAATTAGTGCTGGCTCCACATGCGGGCAACGCTGTGTACATATTGTGGATTTGTCTGAATGAGACGCTGAACAACATTAACGGAAAGGTAACCTGTCTGAATTGGAGAATGCCATCATTTTAAAAGACTGGTGATGTCAACAAACAGCAACTTATAGCAGACACTGAGACGCTCTGTTATCATGACTCAGCATGGAAGGTGATAGAGCAACACCAATGCTTCCAAGCAGAACTCTGAGGGTCAGCCTGTCCAAGCCACTAAAAAAACAAAACAACAAAACACAAAAAAAATATTTCTACTCCTCTGGGTGCCAAGACTTGTAGATGGCTTCAGTTTGTGATCCATCCTCCTCCGCCTAAACCCAAACTGCATGAGTAGGAGTAAGCAAGATGCCGTTTGTTTAATGATTTGAGGGGGCCGTTTCATTCGGCACAGCTCAGTCTCTGGGGAAGTGTGGAGGGAACATGGCTGGATCCAGTATGAAAATCTAAGGTGGCACCTGTAGAGACGCAGTGATGATGATCATGATAACAGTGTCCTACTGCACAAGTGAAAAGCTTCAGCATCACTGGTGAGGAAGTGTGGAGAACCACGGGAGCGGACCGATGTTGGTATCTGACAACAAGCGGATTCTTGAGGAAAGACAAACACTCGCAGGGTCATGACATCTAAATAATGAGCTATAAAGAGAAAATAAGGGAGGTGGAGGGATTGAAATACATATCGAAGGAGGGTGGAAACCCAGGGAGGTCAGATGATAAACTGCTGTGCATCTCAGATGATACAGTCCCAGTGAGGGAGGGGGAAAAGGAAGGCTTCGGCTTTCGGAAAGACAAGAGTCTGGACGGAAACGAGAGTTTTCAACGGTTCATCTAGCGATGATTCAACAGAGCAGAAAGAGGGTGTCGAACAAAAAGGAATCTCCAGCACAGAGCTGGTTTTGGTATACTGGTTTTGGCTGCAGTTGGTGATCAATCTGGGTTGGGGAGGGGAAGGGGGAATCTTCTCATGCGGGGGCATAGGAGGTCTTTGCGAGGTCTTCGTCTTAACTGCCATAATGCATGGTGTTGCTAGGGATGACCATAGGTGAGGCCATGGAGATGGCAGCGCCCCCCATGGTGAACTGGTTGGTGACAGGATAGTAAGTACCGCTGCTACTGGGGCCGGACTGACCCGTAGTGGCTCCTAAATTGGAAACAAAGCATAACAGTCAACGTTCACACTGAGAAGACTTGGACAGTAAACTTGTGTTTGTGGACCAGTGGGCTTACCCTGGACAATTCCTGTGCTCATGATTGAGCCCATCCTGGAGTGGGTATGATTTACAATCCCTGTGTTCACTGTGACCAATCAGAGATGAAAGCACTGTTAAAACCAAGTAGCATCGGGAGTGACAAACCATTTCACCAGTGCAATAAACGCATGCCACATCAGCTGCTTTACAAAAATCTGCAGTAATTTGGGTCCCAACACAGACTATAAGCTGTAATCTGATGTAAACATCAGAAATATCACTAAAATCAAAAGCTAAACTATAACTGAGTACTTTCAAACGTTTTCAAACTAAAAGCCCTTTGATGTTGCTCAGAGGAGCCGAAACAACAGAGTGGGGTTAAAAAAATAAATTAAAAAACAGCATTAAAAGAGTTAAGTGTGATTTGATTAGCTGGAATGTCAGTGTTTTGAGGACTAAAGATGCACTCCAGTAACAGTAAAATGATGATTTTCAGATGAGATTCATACCCAGGGGGATGAGGTTGTTGTGAGACACTGACGGGCCGCTGCCAATGACTGTGCTGAGGTCATAAGCTGCGGGCATCCCTGAAGAAAGAGGCAGCAAAGAAACCCAAAAAACACCATTTACTATAAACCGTCAAAAAAAAACAAAAAACAAAAAAAAAAAACACACTCTTTGGGGTTGGTTCCTGAACACATCCAGAGTGGAAGTGATCTTAAAATGTGATGCCGGAGCTGGTAAGTAGTTAGTGATGCACCGTGGCAGGGAGTCCTTCTACTGCAGGGCCGCACTGTACATTTGGAAGTTTAAGGTTTCAGACAGGATGTTGTTGCTGTTCATTCCTCATAAATATTTTAGAACAAACTGTTTTAAACTAACATTCAACCTTTAAAAACAAACAAACAGTCTATTAGCATATGTTGCTAGTTTAGCTGTAACCTAGCATTTCCTCTTGTATCTGCACAGTTACAGCTGGAAAAGCTGGTGCTGACTACAAGGCGTAACTCTGGACTTCAATCTAGCTCCAGGGCAAAGTGAGTCACACCTGGCTATGTCCATCATTATATACAGTCTTCTTCCCAGGTTCTCAGATACTTGAGCTAATAAAGCTATAGAATAGATGTGCATGAAATTTCAGGCATGTGTACTATAATAAATTCATGCAGACTGCTTTTTACACTGGCTCATGTTTGAACTGATTTAGTCTTTCCTCTGTTTCTACATTGGAGTTTGTGGAACCGCTTCACTTACTTCCAAGAAGCCCAGAGAAGAGGACAAATCTGAAGAACTGCTGCAGCTACACTGCTATACAGAACAACTTCATCGCTTGACCATCGTGTTTCAGCTGCTGGTCTTCATCGCTGTCATCATGATTAGTGAGCACCATCCAATGCATTTAATTCTCAGTCCTGCTTTGTTCTAACAGGTAACTATATTTGTTGTTCTTTGGTCTCTGTGTGGCAGCACGGTGGTCTTTCTGTTTGCAGTTTGTTCTCCCCGTGTTCGCGTGGTTTCTCTTTGGCTTCCTCCCACAGTCCAAAGATATGCAGTTAATGGGGTTAGGTTAATTGGCCTAAATTGCCCAGGTGTGCCTGTGAGTGCGAGTGATTGTCTGTCTCTCTGTATTAGCCCTGCGACAGACTACCTGTCCAGGGTGTACTCTGCCTCTGCTCTAAGACAGCTGGGATATGGAGAATGGACATACCACGCCATGTCTGAAGTATTTACTTAATCTAGCAGTGTCTGAGTGTGTTCACCTGATACAGCCATCCCCTGACTCATGTTGTAGGCTGCCCCTGTGTTCCACATGTTCTCAGACGGGGAGGTGTAGTGTGAGCCAGGAGGGGGGTTGGGGGTAGTGCCTGTGTACCTGCACATAGATAAAAATAATAGATATAAGAAGTTAGAGAAGACTGTATTCACCGATACCAGACACTGTGTCAATAGTGCAAAAGCAGATTGGCTGTGTTTGCTGTGGTCAGGATAAACTAACCTGAAAAAGGGGTTCTTCAAGTCCAGGAGGTTGCTGGACTTTGATCCTGTCTGGTCCACCTGGGCAACAATACTGATGTCGTAGCTTTGTCTGTTAAGAAGTAAATATTGAGACTAATTATCATCAGAATAACATGATTAGCATGCAAGCAAGGTTCCTGGAGTGGCCACTTAAGGCACGCTCCCATGTTGATGCCCAACTTCAGCTAGGAAATGAACAGGTTTCCAAAACACGACAACAGGGTTTGCTGTGACGTCAACGCTTATGCTACAGATTTGGGTGAATGAAACTGTAGTTTTCTTGCATTAATACTAACATACCTCTTGTTGGCCACCAGCAGCGCAGTGCCGGACAAAGTGTCCCCAGCCTTGGTGAAAAGAGGAGACTGCAGGAGACAGCGCACCTGGTACCAGTGAGTGAGAGGCTCTGTGGGTGCTGTGGATAGCCACACTGTCATCCTACAGGAACACAAATAGATTGATGTTTAAGGACAAATCTGGCGCACGTCAAAACTTCTTTAGCTTCAACACACTCACGCAGACTTCCTGACTTACACTGATCCAATAAAAGCCACGTCAAACCAGAAGGCCAGGCCGTGCACCAGGCCCGAATGCATCATGTGGAACTTAAAGGGAATCTCTATCCTGAAAGCATATCATTTATTAGTAGACATTCCTACAGTAATCACAGACACACATTAAACTGGACACACACCTGTAAAGATCCTCTTCTTTGGCCTCCAGGAAGTTGACTGTGTATTTGACTGACTTGGCCATCAGAATACGGATATCAAACGTGTCCTGTGGGGGGAAAGAAATCTGCTGTCACACAACTCTGATTTCTACAAAACACTGCGCCCACAAAAAGCCAATTAAGAAGTCGATATTACCGTCAGATCGCTTTGCTCGTTTGTTCAATTCTGATCTTAAAATCCTGCACATGCATGCATGCATTACTTACCACAATTGGCTGGCGGAAATACTCGTCCACTGCTGCCCCCCGCAGGGCAGAGAGGTCTACACCGTGGAAGGAGGGCTGGTACCTGAGGGGACAGGAAGAAGTGTAGATTCTCACTTTTAGATTGCTTGATTCCTGCCTCAGCAATAAAAATGGCTCATCAACACACTTGACCCTGCAGGAGTCTTAGTGTATTTTAAGATGAAGCTGAATTCTGAGTCATAAAAAGCACACGCACCAATGCACATGCCAATGAATGTAAGTAAACAAGAGCAATAAAAATCAAATCATTAGCTCATTTTGGGCAGCGAGTACTCCTGCAAGCCCAACATGACATCATCATTTAAAAAACAAAATCAACAACAAAAACAAAGTACATTTTGTATTTAGGGACACACCTCTCCAAGGATCTACTGCTTCTTAAACAGCCGAAACCGGTTTGACGTCAACTCGACAACATTAGCATCGACTCTGATTGCGTCCTACACTCACTCGTGCCTACTGTTATCACGCTAGTTTGCATGACTCATACCTCTGAGTGCGATAAACACCTTTGCACGCTGCTGAAGCACCAACTCCCTCGCTGATGCAAACGGTCAAACTAGCCCCGAAAAGATGATTTCGAACGTAATGACCAACATTTTGAACAATACTCCGCTCTCATAACAGAAACAAATGAATAGTTAAACTGCCAGCAGAGAAGAAAGAAGAAAACTGCCTTTACTTGGAGCTCAGATGCATGAAGGAGTTTCTCATTTGATAAGGCATTAAAAAGACATTCATGCATAGAAAAGCTTTCTAACCAAATGAATCCGATGAAGAAAACAATGACGCTGACCCAGAGAACCTCCTTCGTTCCCTCCCTCGTTCTGTTCTTACCAGAAGTTGGCTTTGGTGAACTGCTCCATGTACAGCTGCTCATCTGTGAAGGGGGCCAGGTGGACATCTCCAATAGTGGGGAACATTTTACCTGAAACACCCGCACCGATGAAGACAGTAAGCAAAACTCGTGTTCACGTATCTTCCACCACAGTGCAAGATTCTTCTAAACTGACATCAAATGATTTGGAACACCAAAGCCTGTGGATATCTGACAACATGCAGAACTCGCCAGAAGCAGCTACTGTCACTAATCTGTGGCTGTCTGCAGTCTCAGCCTCCATTCTAGTACATCTCTTGTTCTTCCAAGACTCACCATTAGGTTTGAGGAACTTCTTAGCATGCAGGTAGCTCTCCAGCATGCGCTCATTGAACAGCATGTAACCCATGGGCTCTGAAATGATGATGTCAACTTGCTCCGGCAGCGTCACCTCCTCTACTTTGCCCGGAATGACGGCCACACGCTCCCCCAGACGGTTGCTGTTCACCAGCACCTGCAGCACAACACAACAAACACATCATCATTCAAAAAGCTGGATTTAGCTTGTCTGATCTAAAGTTAATGTGGACTGTCCAGACAGCCAGAGCTCATAGCTGTTACATTTTCAGCAACAGCGAGATTCCCACAGCTCAAACACGTCACCTGAATTTAAAACATTTAGTATAGTGTTTAGAATGGATCGTAAACAATGAGAGGCTGTGCATCCAGTGAAAGCATAATCAGAGGTAGGTCACTGATCTCAGCATGAATCTGTGTGTGTACCTCGGCGTGCTGTGCCATGGTGCTGGCCTCTACAGCGTACACCTTCCTAGCTCCAGCTTGAGCTGCAAAGAAAGAGAGGATTCCCGAGCCACAACCCACATCCAGCACCACCTGGAGAAAAGAGGACAGACAGCACACAGTCACAGCTGCAGGACAACACTTTAGTCTGTACTTAATGTAAACCAGCTGTTTTCAAACATCTGTCAGCCTTATCAAATAGCACATATTCAGCTCGCTACCTTGTCCTTAAAGTCAGTGTGGTTCTGGAGAATGGCCCGCTGGTAAGTCCCTGTCCGAACATAGTCCTGCATCATGTTCTGTTGCTGGGAGAGGTAGCCATAAAACTGCAGAAACACAAACACAAGCACGCTCATGAGTTTGGACTTTTGGCACTTTGACTTGAGCTCAATTTGCAGTTTTAAAAAAAGAGAAACAAAGTTCTTTAAGTTTCTTAACAAAAAGATAAATAAATAAAAGGACCAGCTCAGACATAAAGCACCCAAGTTTGTGCTGGGATCTGTAAACAACCAAACCAAGCGGCTTCTCAACAGATGGATGCTTGCAGGTAGAAGTGCTACAGAGCCCTTTTAACTCCTCCTGGAGCTGACTTGCAGCTACTTTTAAACACAAAGTAGTTCAGATGGTGCCCAAAAAAACAGAAGCAGGCTTCATTCTGACTGAATATTCCTGTAATGAGCAGTCTATAAATACTCAGCCAAGAACAAAGTAAGCGTCATTACTGCAGTGTGTTTAAAAGGAAATGTGGATTCAAATTAGTCAGGAGATAATTCAAGAGTCCCAAAATTGTGTGAGAGTGTGTGACAGTCACCTGGAAATACTGTACAGCAGAGGACTCCTCTGTTCTTTCACTGAAGACAGATTGCTCTCCAAGATGCCCACGACAGTTCTTCAGCACGTTATAAAAAGACTGAAAGTCTGAAGCGAAGCACAAACACACTGTAAGTTGGTTTTGTTGAGCTACACTGCAGTTTAATCCTTTTTCTCTTCCTGTGCTGTCAGCTGTAAACGGTTTGGTTTTCTGTCCTCTCGTGCTGGGAAACAATATTAAATCCTGTGCAACTACTGCAGCTTAGGTGTAACAAATACATGATTAAATAATTAAGTAATTCAATATCACAGTTTTAAGATTTAAGTTCGCATTTCACAAGCATAGATCATTTTTTTTAAACTGCCATGTCCCACATACCTTGGTGTGTGTCTGCATTAATCATGAGTGGGTCTACCTCCTCCTCAGTGCACACAGTATTAGCATTTTTAACACATATCATGGAAAATGCACCAATACTGATGCATCCAACAATCACAACATTTCCTTCTTTTTCTGCTTCATTTGTGCATTTAGACGACTTTTTGTTCAAGGTGAACACAGAAATCTCAATTAATCGCGCGCCTTGAGGCGGCTGTTGTGATTTGGCGCTATATAAATAAAATTGAATTAAATCTCAATTTATTCCCAAATAAAATAAAATTAATAAATAAACAAAAAGCACTTCATTTTTTCAGCATGTGTCAGCTTGATGGCAGTGGCTGCTATTTTTCCAATGTCATCAGATTTGTGGCAGTAGTGAGAAGGGGCATATGCACAGGCACACGTGAGCATGTGTGCGTCCAAACGGAGGTATAGAAATACATTAAATATAATCTTTGCCAACAGCACCCCGTTCATCTGAACATGTATCTGTCAGAGTAAAGCCAATCACAAGCACAGATGAGTGTACTGCCTGTGGGAAAAATGTGAAGCTGTTAAATCCATAAAGCAGGTTGAAAGTAACAGCTGCTGACAACGCAGCCCTGTGTGAGTGTGTGCGTGTACATGTTTAGACAGCTTTGTGAGGACAGAAAATGGGCGTGCAGCTATATTTGTGGGGACCAACAGTCACTTATGGGGACAAAATGCCCTTCCCTGTGAGTTTGAAAACATTTTTGAGGCTCAAAATGTGGTTTTAGTGTCAGGGTTACAGTTAGGTTATGGTTACGTTTAGGCTGAGGGTTAGGACTAGGCATTCATTTTCATGGTTGGGGTTAAAGTAAGCAGCTAGGGAAAGCATGATGTCAATGAGATGTCCTCACTGAGATATAAAAACATGTATGTGTGTGTGTCTATAGTAATATTGTAAAAATGTGTGTTTTAAGCGTTTGACTAAGACTGATAAAGACCTCCAATATCAACAAAGATTAGCCTGTTTGAAGCGTGGAAAGAAACCTGGCAAAAATACTGACTAATTAAGTTAACTTGATATGAATATCACAACAAATGAAATGTGGGACAATCGGATCTGATGAGTATTTCATTAAAAGGCATCTTTAGTTTTTATTCTTTCAGTTGCAGACTGGGGGGTGTTTAAGGGTTTGAGTAACAAATAAAAATAAAGAGAATTCAAACCAAGGCTTTGTCTACGTACACATCTGACATGAGGTCAGCAAGGACAGTATAGTTGTCCTGCTTTAGGATCATATATTAATGTTTACAGAAAAATATACTTGTTGTAAAACTGTTTGCAGAAAAAATAAATAAAACAGGGAATAAATTTGGGTGTAAGAATCTACACTTATTACTGATGCTCATCAGAGAAACAGACACTCTCCTACACTCCCTGCAGAGGCCTGAGGAGCTTTCCAGGAATGGTGACACAATTTTCATTTAACAGATAAACAAACACTATTTTAACTAATAACACTCAAATGACTGCACTGCTCCTGAACACACCGTTGACTCAGTGCAAACTGTAAACAGTGTCCTGCAGGTAATAAAAGCAGGCTGTCATGAGATGAGTATTTGACTTTGTTGTTAACAAGCTGCACCACACCCCAGAAACAGCTCACCATCATCAGCTCCATAAAACTGCACAGACACAAAAAACCCTTTCAGAGAGTTGACATATTCTTGGCTCCAAACTTGTATAAAATGCAACGTGTAACAGTCTTACTGTGGTGGGGTGAACGGTACTTATATTGCACGCTTCTACTCTACTACAAGCTTCATTCACTTACTCACGCACTTTTTTTTCTATTACTAAGTATTAATGCAGTGGGGACAGCTCAGGGTTCAGTATTGTGCCCGAGGACATTTTCACATGCCAACTGGAGCAGCCCGGGATCAACCTACCAACTTTCCAACTGGTAGACAACCCGCTGTACCTCCTGAGCCACAGCTGCCTGTGTGTTTACCTGTAGGTGAGGAGAACTGCAGCAGCACACTGTTACAGCCCAATGTGATGATGAATGACTGCTTCCCCACGCGACTGCACTCGGTCTCCCTGGAAACCGAACATTTGAACACGCTCGCCTCGTCTCCTAGAAAGAAAGGGAGAGAGAACAGTTTATACTCATCTTTACCAAAATATAAACAAGCAGCGAGGTGATGCTGCTTAAACTCTGCTGGTGGTTAAAAGCAGCGAGGGCTGAGATCACAGCATGTGAGTGCCAGAGTGCTGAAGGAGGGTAGCAGAAGAAAGCACAATGACCACAGCTGATATCCCAAATGTCTCATGTTATTAATGACCAGGAGGCCTGCACCACACATCATCTGGGATAATACCAATGTAGATTTTTACGCTGTATAAATAAGTCCGATATGATTGCTATAACAATGGCATATATTTATGTTCCCTACTGTGGCAATCACAGGCACGTCTGAGAGCAAGAGACACATGTCAGTCTCTGACAACTTAGGAAGGTTATGAAGGAGGAGATGCTAGTAGTTGGATACGTGCCACCTAAATGTAAACAATGACTCCACCAAGTGTCTATGACATTTGTATACACCACATAAAAACAATCACAACAATAAGACAATATGTAGCACAATATGCAGACACTTGCATCTCAGAGATGATTTCGGGGACACCAATTTGTCAACCTGTGCATAGCTCATGTTCACAAATTTGAAATAAAGGATTGTTCATCAAAAACAGGTCCAAACTAACGGGGACAATAGTCATTGTGGTGTTTAGGACAAGATTTGCTCTCTCACACCATTTAATGAAATATTCAAGAACTGGACAGTGCTCATCCTCTCTATCGTATAAGAAGCCCACTAAAGCCAATCGAGAGGGCAGCAAAAATTCTTCTGCCACAGCTGATGAAAAGTCAACAAAGAAATAAATAAATCTTAGCACGACTCCTGATGAGTATGTACTACATGCAGCAAAGTTAATATAGCATCTTCCACCCCATGCTGTGTCACTGCTATTGCACTATAATGCTGGTGTTGGCACCTTGTCTCAGTAGGTTCACACTTAAAATGATTGGAAAAGGAGGATAGAAGAGACCTGGACACAGTGCAGTCTTAGTTTCCTTAGTCCGGCTCACACAGGCTGCAAGAAGATCTCTGCAAGAGCTGAAATTTACTGATTTGCGTATATTTGTATGTGTACACAAAACAACCAGAACACAAGTCTGAACTACCTTGTTGACATCATTGTTAAAATGCAACGTTTTACCTGTATCCTACTGTTGGGTCTAAACTCAGACCCTGCTGTATCCAGGACTTATTCCCGTGAAAGAAAAACAAGGCAACAGCGATCGATCGTTTCACTTGCAAGGGAGGCCTCGTTGATGTCTACCACGAAATGACCCCAAATCCGGCCTCCTCTCGCTGCCTTTTATTGAGAAACAGTTCACACAAAACACATCACAGCAAAGCAACGCCCACATGGTTCTAAGACAAGGCATTGTATGTATATGTGTGAACTTCTGTA